CCACCAACAGTGTAAGAGGGTTCCCCTTTCTCCACAACCTCTCCAACATTTGTTGTTTCTTTCCCTGTCCATTTTTGCCATTCTAACTGGTGTAAGGTGGTATCTCAATGTGGTTTTGATTTGAATTTCCCTGATGGCTAATGATGATGAACATTTTTTCATGTGTCTATTAGCCATTTGTATGTCTTCTTCAGAGAAGTGTCTTTTTATATCTTCTGCCCACTTTTTGACTTGATTATTTGTTTTTTGGGTGTTGAGTTTGAGAAGTTCTTTATAGATCTGGGATACCAGCCCTTTATCTGTAGTGTCATTTGCAAATATCTTCTGCCATTCTGTGGGTTGCCTCTTTGTTTTGTTGACTATTTCCTTTGCTGTGCAGAAGGTTTTTATCTTGATGAAGTCCCAAAACTTTTGTTTGTTTCACTAGCTTTTAGAGATGTATCCTGAAAGAAGTTGCTGTGGGCGATGTCAAAGAGGTTACTGCCTATGTTCTCCTCTAGGATTTTGATGGATTCCTGTCTCACATTGAGGTCTTTCATCCACTTTGAGTTTATCTTTGTGAACGGTGTTAGAGAATGGTCGAGTTTCATTCTTCTGCATGTGGCTGTCCAATTTTCCCAGCACCATTTATTGAAGAGACTGTCTTTTTTCCATTGCATGTTTTTTCCTGCTTCATCAAAGATTATTTGACCATAGAGTTGAGGGTCCATATCTGAGTTCTCTATTCTGTTCTATTGGTCTATATGTCTGTTTTTGTGCCAGTACCATGCTGTCTTGGTGATCACTGCTTTGTAATATAGCTTGAAATCGGGCAACGTGATGTCCCCAGCTTTGTTTTTCTTTTTCAACATTTCCTTGGCGATTCGGGGTCTTTTCTGATTCCATACAAATTTTAGGATTGTTTGTTCCAGCACTTCGAAAAATGTCATTGGAATTTTGATCGGGATGGCACTGAAGGTATAGATTACTCTGGGTAGCACAGACATTTTAACAATGTTTATTCTTCTGATCCATGAGCATGGAATATTTTTCCATCTTCTTGTGTCTTCTCAATTTCTTTCATGAGTGTTCTGTAGTTCCTAGAGTATAGATCCTTTACCTCTTTGGTTAGGTTTATTCCGAGGTATCTTATGGTTTTTGGTGCTATTGTAAATGGAATAATTTCTCTAATTTCTCTTTCTACAGTTGCGTTGTTAGTGTATAAGAAAGCAACTGATTTCTGTGCATTGATTTTGTATCCTGCCACATTACTGAATTGCTGGATGAGTTCTAGTAATTCGGGGGTGGAGTCTTTTGGGTTTTCCATATAAAGTATCATGTCATCTGCGAAAAGAGTTTGACTTCTTCTTTGCCAATTTGAATACCTTTTATTTCTTTTTGTTGTCTGATTGCTGTTGCTAGGACTTCTAGTACTATGTTGAACAACAGTGGTGAGAGTGGGCACCCTTGACGTTCCTGATTTTAAGGGAAAGGCTCTCAGCTTTTCCCCACTGAGGATGATATTCGCTGTGGGTTTTTCATAGATGGACTTTATGAACTTGAGGAATGTTCCCTCTATCCCTATACTCTGAAAAGTTTTAATCAGGAAAGGATGTTGTATTTTGTCAAATGCTTTTTCTGCATCAATTGAGAGGACCATATGGTTCTTCTCCCTCCTCTTATTAATGTGTTCTATCACATTGATTGATTTGCGAATGTTGAACCACCCTTGTATCCCGGGGATAAATTCCACTTGGTCGTGGTGGATGATCCTTTTAATGTATTGCTGGATCCTATTAGCTAGGATTTTGTTGAGGATTTTGGGATCCATATTCATCAGGGATATCGGTCTGAAATTCTCCTTTTTGATGGGGTCTTTGCCTGGTTTGGGGATTAAAGTAATGCTGGCCTCATAGAATGAGTGTGGAAGTTTTCCTTCTGTTTCTATTTTTTGAAACAGCTTCAGTAGAATAGGTATTATTTCTTCATTGAATATTTGGTAGAATTCCCCAGGGAATCCATCAGGCCCTGGACTCTGTTTTTTGGGAGGTTTTGATCACTGCTTCAGTCTCGTTACTGGTTATTGGCCTATTCAGGTTGTCGATTTCTTCCTGTTTCAGTCTTGGCAGCTTATAGGTTTCCAGGAAGGCCTCCATTTCATCCAGATTGCTCAGTTTATTGGCATATAGTTGTTGATAATAATTTCTAATAATTGTTTCTATTTCCTTGGTGTTAGTCATGATCTCTCCCCTTTCATTCATAATTTTATTAATTAGGGTCCTTTCTCTTTTCTTTTGGATAAGTCTGGCCAGTGGTTTATCGATCTTATTAATTCTTTCAAAGAACCAACTTCTAGTTTCGTTGATCTGATCTACTGTGTTTCTGGTTTCTAATTCATTGATCTCTGCTTTAATTTTAATTATTTCTCTTCTAATGCGTGGCTTAGGCATCGTTTGTTGCGTTTTCTCTAGTTCTTTAAGGTGTAGAGTTAGTTGGTGAATTGGGGATTTTTCTATTTTTTTGAGTGAGGCTTGGATGGCTATGTATTTCCCCCTTAGGACCGCCTTTGCAGTATCCCATAGGTTTTGGACCGATGTGTTTTCATTCTCATTGATTTCCATGAATTTTTTAAGTTCTTTGATTTCCTGGTTGACCCAAACATTCTTGAGCAGAGTGGTCTTTACCTTCCAAGTGCTTGAATTTCTGCCAAGTTTTTTCTTGTGATTGAGTTCCAGTTTTAAAGCATTGTGGTCTGAGAATATTCAGGGAATAATCTCAATCTTTTGGTATTGGTTGAGACCTGATTTGTGACCCAGTATGTGGTCTATTCTGGAGAAAGTTCCATGTGCGCTCGAGAAGAATGAGTATTCTGTTGTTTTAGGGTGGAATGTTCTGTAATTATCTATGAGGTCCATCTGGTCCAATGTATCATTCAAAGCTCTTGTTTCCTTGTTGATATTCTGCTTAGATGATCTGTCCATTGCTGAGAGTGGAGTATTGAGGTCTCCTACAATTAACGTATTGTTATCAATATGACTCTTTATTTTGGTTAACAGTTAGCTTATGTAGATGGCTGCTCCCATGTTGGGGGCATAGATATTTACAATTGTTAGATCTTCTTGTTGGATAGACCCTTTAAGAATGATACAGTGTCCTTCTGTGTCTCTAATTACAGACTTTAGTTTAAAATCTAATTTGCCTGATATAAGAATTGTTACCCCAGCTTTCTTTTGAGGTCCGCTGGCATGGAAGATGGATCTCCATCCCTTCACTTTCAGTCTGGATGTATCTTTAGGTTCAAAATGAGTCTCTTGTAGGCAGCATATGGATGGGTTCTGTCTTTTTATCCAATCTGCAACCCTGTGCCGTTTTATGGGAGCATTTAGGCCATTCACGTTGAGAGTGATTATTGAAAGATATGAATTAATTGTCATCATGTTGCCTGTGAAGACGTTGTTTTTATAGATTGTCCCTGTAAATTTCTGTTGTATATCACTCTTGGGGTCTTTCTCCTTTTATAGAACCCCCCTTAATATTTCTTGCAGGGCCGGCTTAGTGGTCACATATTCTTTCAGTTTCTGCTGGTCATGGAAGCTCTGCATCTCTCCATTCTAAATGAAAGCCTTGCCGGATAAAGTATTCTTGGCTGCATGTTCTTCTCATTAAGACCCTGAATATGTCTTGCCAGTCCTTTCTGGCTTGCCAGGTCTCTGTGGATAGGTCTGATGTTATCTGATGTTCCTCCCTCTGTACGTAAGGAATCTCTTCCCCCTAACTGACCTTAAGATGGTTTCCTTGGTTCTAAGATTTGCAAGTTTTACTATTACATGCCGGGGTGTTGGCCTGTTTTCCTTATCTTGGGAGGGATCCTCTCTGCCTCTAGGACGCGAATGTTTGTTTCATTCCCCAGATTAGGGAAGTTCTCAGCTACGATTTGCTCAAATACATCTTCTAGTCCTCTCTCTCTCTCCACTCCCTCCAGGATTCCAATTATTCTGATATTGGAATGCTTCATGGTGTCACTTATTTCTCTGATTCTATTTTCATGGATTCTGAGTTGTTTTTCCCTGGCCTCCTCTTTTCCCTTTTTATCTATTATATTGTCTTCCAGGTCGATTATTTGTTCTTCTGCCTCAGTTACCCTAGCTGTTAGATTATCTAGATTGGATTGGATCTCATTGATAGCATTTTTAAGTTCTGCCAATTCAGCTTTCATTTCTGCCCTCAGAGACTCTATGTTGCCATTAATTGATTTCTCCATTCTAGCCATTGTCTTCACAATTGCTAGCCTGAATTCCATCTCCGACATCTTGGTTATATCTGCATCCATTTGTAAATCTGCAGCATTAAGTCATAATCTCTGAGTCTTTCCTATTTTGGGGGCTCCTCCTCCTAGTCATTCTGTTGATGGGTGTTTGAGGGAATGTATAGAGTCCAAATTATTGACCAGAACCCAAGCAAGATGCACCTGTTTTCTTGGGACCTTAGGGTTGCTGGCCTCTTGTTTTCCCAGCCTGTCTTCTGGGCAAGGGGACTGCCATGCTGTTACTCAGGCAACCCTGTTTGGGCAGAGTTGCCCTGCCCCCCTGTGGCGGGGGATGGGCTCAGTGGGAATCAGTTTTGGGGGCCTTTGTTCTCTGGCGGCTTTCCCTGGCAGCTTTCCACGTCTCTTCCGTGAGTCAGAGCAGAAGAGACCATTTCCAACCCTCTGCCTCAGAGCAGAGAGACCACAGTCTGTTCTTCAGTGAGCTCTCCAGGCCACACTGTCTCTGTTTCTGTCCGTGCTGCTATAAACTGCAGCGTCCTGGGTTGTGCGCCCCTCCGCAGCGCCCCCAGTCCTGCCTCCAGGTCGGGGCACGTGTCTGCCCTTTGTGCTTCTAAAACCGCCAGCCACCCCCAGATCGCACACGTGACCCCGCTGCTCCGTGTTTCCATCCCATGGGCTGCCCTAAAGTCCTTTCCCCACTGCTACCGGTCTGCGAGTCTGTGCCCCGTCTGCAGCGCGCGAGGCTGTCACTCACCGGCGGTGTAGGATCCCCACGTCCAGGCACCCTCCTGCTGCCGTTTATCCTCCGATATCTGCCCGCAGAATCACGGGTCCCCGCTTCGTACCTCGAAACCAACCGCCTGCGATATTCTGTTTGTAGAGATCCAGATCTTCTTACATCTCAGGCTGGTTTCGTGGGTGCTCAGAGTGGTCTGGTAGATATCCAGCTTAATTCTGGGGACCAGCTGAAATAGGGTCCCCTACTCCTCCGCCATCTTTCCTAGTCCTAAAATAAAGGGATTTTAAAAGTACAGTGGTATATAAGATTGGAATTCTCTCTATATTCAAAAGACAAAATTTTCTTGAATTGTTAGTCTGCTCTTGATAAGAAAATGTAAACAGCTGTTTTCTCTTTGCCTGCCCAGAAAAGCCAGTTTCCATGTTTTGCCTCTATCCGGTCTTTGACGATCCCTAATCCTATTTAGACATGTGCTAGGTTTTAACAAACTTCCCCAAGATTTAAATCGTGAACAAAGTCTCCTTGACTAATTAGGCTTGTTTGGTATGTTACATTCTGGTATAAAGTCATCATCACTCGATATTCTGGCTATTGAGTTGTTATGTGACAGAATAACTGAGTTTCCTTGTCAATTGCATCCTAATGAACTCTCCTATCAGATCATTACCAATGTCCATTTCTGAGTTTTTGTCATTTATAATTGTCCTTATTCTCCTGCAAAATGAGTTTTATCTTCAAGGAGGTTCATAAAAAGGACTTTTGGGACAAATACAGGTATTCACTATCTTTAAGATCAAAACTAAAATGGGGTAAAAACTTCCAAAACTCACTGAAGTTGCATTTTAAACAAGAATAGTAAAATGGGACTAAGTAAATTGGGAAAAAAAATGATTATAGTTTCTTTTGTGACTTTTGTTCAAAACATTGCTGTTTCTCTAATGTTTGCTCTCCCAGATTAAGGAAACTTTCTCTTAAGATATGATTTACAGAAATGTGATAAAATATTCATTTGTAAACAAAAACATTAAAACATTTAACATTTAAAAAATTTATCTCTACCTAAACCCTCTGAAATTCAAAAGGTCTCAATAAGCTTTCTTCCATGGCAATCAATCATTTGCATAAGTTCAACAAGAATCTGTTCTCCTTGTAACAGGACACCATTGGAAATATTGGTTATTTTACTAAGGCTTTGACTGGAATGTCATATTTGAGAGACATTCATAGACTCAGAAATGACCAGACAGCTTTAAGAAACTAAGGTTGACTTTATGAAACCTAAAGCCATAAAGCTCCTTGGAAATGTTGGCCTGATACCTTGCTTACAGAGTTCCCAGCAGCCTTACCAGGTGAGTAAAGAATGTCACTTCCTGGCATGTGCAAGGACCTCAGGATATATTGGGGACCTCGTGAAGAGGAATCTGTCCCCATTTACAGGTATTGCAGGCATGTCTGATGGCAAGTACTTTGCTTGGCTTCTGGCCTGGAGAGGCAACTAAAAGTTCAATGTAGAGATTCCTTATAAAAGTTCCAGCAAAGCAGATTCTAAAAGATCTATATGATCAATCATTCTTGCTGAGCTTATGTAAATAATTACACCGTTTGTTAAAACTGGACTTGTTTTTCAAACAAATTAGTCTTATTTGGCTGTCTTTGGAAATGAGGGTTATTACAGAGAGAAATTATGTTTCAATTACACACCTTTGTGGATGCTAAACTTTAGTTCTGATTGTCTTTGAATGTTGTTTGCCTAAGCTAGACCACTTGAGGTAAACTTCAGAGAAATTGCCATAATAGCTCATGTATAGGCAATCTTGCTTGTTATTCTGTGGGGATAACAGGACCCCATGGGCATATGATTACTTGAACAACTGGGAAATGGGATAGATTCCCCAACAATTGTATAACTCAGCTATCACCTTGACCAATTCTATGGCTGGGATGACAAAATTGCTCTTTAAAAGCCAGAGCATGGGGCACCTGAGTGGCTCAGTGGGTTAAGCGTCTGATCCCAGGGTCCTGGGATCTAGCCCCATATCCGGCTCCCTGCTCAGTGGGGAGCCTGCTTTTCCCTTTCCCTCTGCCCCTCCCCCCACTTGTGCTCTCTCGTTCTCTCTTTCAAATAAAATAAAATCTTTAAAAAATAAATAAATAAAATAAAAGCCAGAGTGTACTCCATGGAGATAATGGATGGCCACACTTTTTTTTTTTTTTAAAGATTTTATTTATTTATTTGACGGAAAGAGACACAGTGAGAGAGGGAACACAAGCAGGGGGAGTGGAAGAGGGAGAAGCAAGCTTCCTGCAGAGCAGGGAGCCCCATGTGGGGCTCGATCCCAGGACCTTGGGATCGTGACCTGAGCTGAAGGCAGACACTTAACGAATGGGCCACCCAGGGACCCCCACACTTTCTTTATGATTAGATTGGATGATGCACTTGGGGATGCCCTTATCTCCTGAGACAAATCTCTCATTTGCCAGTGATTCCTTGTAATTAGGATATTGTTAAGGCTGGACCTCAAACAAAAAGGGCTTCTTGATGGTTTCATCCCTCATAGTCATTTATCCTAGAAGACACCTCTACTGACATACAGTTGCAAACAAAGTCTTTAACCCAAGCATACAAGAGCTCTCCTGGTAAAAAGAGCCTCAGAGCTCACTATGGGACTTCCAGGACTTACGATAGGACTGCAATATAAAGTAAGCAAAACAGTATGCTTGCTCAGCAGGACTCTAAATGATACCCAGGCACTGGATGCACTCAGCCAAGAATTAAATGAAGTCAGAGAAGGACTTCTTGAGAACCATGCCACTACTGACTGACTACTGTTGCTACACCATTAGGGGTGTGAAAAATCCCCTCACATGTGTCGTTTTAACATTACAGTTAACTCCTGCAAGGTGTCCCAATTAATAGGGGATATCTGTGATCAATTAAATAAGATCATGATATCCACTGATCTATTTGACAAAATTGGTACTTGGGGATCTTATCTAAGGGATGTGATCATAATTTTGGGCCTAATACTTGTTTCATGTTCATCCTATTGCATGTGCTGATACATGTACTGTTCGCTGCCCATCATGACCCCGCCGGAGCCATACCACAAGTCCCTGGACTGACCCCTGGAGAGATTCTAACTGCCACACAGTCCGCCACCCCATTTCAGCAGGAAGCACCCGGAGCGGTCATCGTCCCATTACCTAACGGCAGTTAGGGTTACTATTCCAGGGGGAGGAATGAGTAAGGGGCAGGCGGGGCTAGGTAGGGAGAGATAGATAGGGGCAATGTTATCAGGTTCACAGAAATCCCAAAAATGTGGAGGTGTGGGGAAACCAGAGATAAGGGGACTTACTGGACCACCCTGCCCTAGGTGAGTGGGGTGGGTGTCTTTACGATAATTACTGTGACCAACAAAGAATAACTAGACCCTAAAAAGGAAGTAAGCCATTGAAGGTGTTATCAATAGAGACGTTAAAAGGATTTAAATTCCCTGGTTAGCTTTCTATAAAAGACCAACCCTGAAGGCCCTCGTTGGCAACCCTGTCGGGACCCCTCTCACTCCTGAGAGCTTTTTCTGTATCTTCACTTAATAAACTTCTATTGCTTTACTCACTAGAAAAAAAAAAATTCTTCGCAAAAACTTCTGTCTGGAAGCTTTTTAGGAATGTAAGGTTTAAAAGCCTCTATTATTTGCTTTCCCTAAGCTAGAAAATCAGGCCCAAGAAACTCCACCAGATTTCTCCTGTAGTACCTATCAATTTGAGTGAATTTTGAGGTCCTGAAAATTTCTTAATTGCTGGCCTACCAGAAGTGATCTTCCTAATAAGCACTGGCCCCATAAACACACCAAACCTTTGGCCCTTAAAATGGTTTGCTATATCTGGTTAAGTGAATATCCTCCCTTTTTAAAGATTTATTTATTTATTTTTAGAGAGAGAGAGTGCGCGTGTGCATGGGCAGTGGGGCAGGGCAGAGGGAGAACCAACAGTCCCAAGCAGACTCCCTGCTGAGCACAGAGCCTGATGCTGGGCTCAATCCCATGACCCTGAGGTCATGATCTGAGCTGAAATCAAGAGTCCGATGCTTCATCAACTGAGCCACCCAGGCACCCCAGATGAATATTCTTCTTAAGTAGACACTTCACATAAGGCCTTGGATATACAACCAGTGTGTACAATTATATCCTGGTAAAAGGAAGTCAGATCTTTACTGAATCTAATAAGAGTTTCTGAATTCTGGGGGAGCCAGTGAAAATTAGATATTTAAACATTTTTGGTTTATGAGACAGAATCTAAATTGTTATGGGTTACACACTGGTTATAATTGAAGAAGGGGGATAAAAAGCTTCCTCATATATCTAGAAAATAGAACATTAAAACATCAATAATATTCTTTTTTTTTTTAAAGATTTATTTATTTGAGAGAGAGAGAATGAGAGAGAGAGAGTACATGAGAGGGGGGAGGGTTAGAGGGAGAAGCAGGCTCCTCGCCAAGCAGGGACCCCGATGCGGGACTCGATCCAGGGACTCCAGGATCATGACCTGAGCCGAAGGCAGTCGCTCAACCAACTGAGCCACCCAGGCGCCCAAAACATCAATAATATTCTAAGCAAATCACCACAATAAATTTCTATCAGTTTCATTTAGTCCTATAAAGTTAAATCTCGTTCTGGGACATTTTGGGTTAGGAGTCTCATGAAACCACCTGCTTCTTGACCTAATGGAGTCTTGGAAATCCTAACTCAGTCCACTGGTGTAGTCTGAGTTGTCTAAGTAATGTTAGCTCAGCTCTGAAGTGTTAATATTTTGAAGAGCCTGTCTCAGTCCTTTTTCCAGGAGGCTCTGCTCTGAGACTGTCCTTTGTTGAGGACTCAAACTGATGTTTATATCTTAGAATAGAACCTTCAAGCAAGCATCACAATAAAACAAAAACTATCTGTAGAAGACAGAGACTTCAGATGACTGTGGTTGGTTTATTATTGAGAACTTTCAAATGTGACAGGTCTGATGAAGTTTCATATTAAAAATAGGCAACTGACTGGAAAATTTGGTTGTTCCTATGGCATGCAAAACAAAGGTAATACAGCCATTGCAAAAAATTAGACAAAATGTCTCTAAGGATAGTGACAAAGCCTATTTTTAAAGACAGCAATAAAAGTTATGTCTGAGGGCACCTGGGTGGCTCAGTCATTAAGTGTCTGCCTTGGGCTCAGGTAATGATCCCAGGGTCCAGGGATGGATCCCTGCCTGGGGCTCCCTGCTCA